GTAAGAGCTGGATCTACACTTCCTTCCTTGATCCTTGCTTCCAATCCTCCAAGATGTGCACTCCAAATGAACCTTTATCTTCACAAAGCTCAAGAAATGAAGTTGGGTGGCTAGGGTTCCGTTTCTGGACTTGAGAGGGCAGTAAGGGGGCTGAGTGAGAGGCCTCATGTTATTTAAATAGGGTACAAGGCCCGAATTTAGGGTTTCCCAAACCCTGACCAACTCGTCGAGTTGGTCCCCCGACTCGTTGAGTCGGTCACTTAATCCACAACTTAAAAATCTGCTCCTACTCGTCGAGTTCCTCCCTGGACTCGACAAGTAGATCTCTTGACTTGGAGTTTTTCTTTCTTTTCTTGACCTTCTGGATTTCGGGTGTTACAGTTATGTATGGCCGACTTTCATCGAATACGGCTTTCCGCAAAATTCTATATGTATCTATGAGATCGAGTATGGAATTCTGTTTTACTCACTTTAAATTGAGTATCTGTTTCCCTCCTTTTCCTGCTAGGAATAAGCATCGTCTACTAGCATCAATATCGTCACTGGCATCACTATCGTCACTAGTTACATATCCAGGGCCCCTGACACAAATAGACACCTCACAAGTTCCATAGAGATTACGGTTGTTTTCTACCAATTGGGGCCCTCCCTTCACCACCCCCATGTGGATGGTCTACAGGGTTGTTATAGCATCTATAATTGTTTTTGGTTTAGGTGGACAGCCCGACAAGTATACATCCACAGGAATTAGCTTATCGACTCCACGTTAACTTTTGAAACATCAGTGAATCAATCGTATCCTGTGGCTTTGGAAATAATATTATATATTGGATTTTTTATTGCTTTTGCTGTCAAATTACCAATTCTACCCCTACATACATGGTTACCAGATACCCACGGAGAGGCACATTACTAAACAATAAAAAATGCATAGATTCAACCGAATTATTTGAGAATAAAATAAAATAAATGGCAATAAAATAGGGGTGTAACAAAAAACTGAAACCGAATAACCGAACCGAACAAAATGATGTTTTGTTTATTTGCTTCAGGTTATTTGATTATTTGGCTAATTCGGTTTGGTTAACCAAACAAGAATATCTTATTTGATTTGGTTTTGATTAAATTTTTGTTATTTTGGTTAAACCGAATAAGTTATTTAATTAATATATACATTCTTATAGTTTATATCTATAAATTAACATTTTATATTAAAATTAATGGATTAGTTACTAAAAAAGATTTTGATAACTCATTAATTAATTATTAACCATTACAAATTTATAATTATTTATATATTGTATTAAAAAACGACAACTAATTAACCAAATTTTAACGTGCCTCTACAACTTGTATGACTACATCGACGCTTCAAGGCAGCATATCGTGAAAGACCGAATATAATATGTATTCTATTAATGTATTTTTTTTTCATTTGATAAATTTTTAGTAAGTTTTTTCTATTAGTTTAATATTTATTTTTACATGCGAAATTGTATTCGGTTTAACCGGTAAACCAAACCGAATAAACCGTAACCGAATAAACCAAAACTGATTAAATCAAACCTTATTTCGTTTGGTTATGATTAATTTTAAGATGTAATCAAACAGAAAAAATCAAACCGATTAAACCGAAAAACGAAAAAAACCGACCAAATAACACCCTTACTGTAACGTCCTAAAAATAGTACTAAAATTTTCATTTTTTAAAACATCAAATCTGTACAATCATTTGTTTAAAACCAGTTAGAGTACAATGTATTTTTCAAACATTATAGTAATACAATAACAATCAGTGCGAAAAAGCCATCAGGGAATGTTTTGTAGTCAAGTCAGGCCCCTCCCTTTAGAATTGGAAGTACCTGAAAATGTTTAAACCACAAACTGTACCCATAAAGCTTAGTGAGTTTCCCAAAATACCACATACCATACATATTAACGGGCCTAGCCCGTACATTGGCCCAGTCCATATAACAGACCCAACTCATCATACCAACGGGCCCAACCCTACATATCAATGAGCCCAACACATCATAGAAATGGGCCCAATCCAACATGCAAGTAGGCCCAGTCCAGCATACATACTAATGGGCCCAGCCCAACACACAGTGCGAGAGTCACAAAGACAGTTAGCATCCTACATAGTATAGTGAGGACTCACTTGACTCACAAAACCAGCTAAACCACAGCTCAATGCTACACAACCGATGTTACAACACACCTATCAAAACATACAAGGTGCAACCTTAGCCTATACCCCGAATCCAACAATTTGACCAAAAGTCAACCATACCTAAAAAGTCAATGGTCAAGGTCAAAGTCAACAATCAACAATTGAACCTCACGTCGTGACCAGCCCTTGGTCACATCGTCAGAGCACACTCAACCTGATTCCAAACTTGGTCACGCGTCGACTCAGCCAACTCAGTCACGAAAAACTCAATCAACAGGCATTACGACGTGAACCCTACTTGCTCATGTCGTGAACCCATCAGGATAAGATAATCGCAAAAACCTCTATCGTCACATCGTGACATCCTCTATGATACGTCGTGACCACAATCTAAGGCAACAACTTAATGGTTCGAGTCCTTAATCCATTAAGTCTTCAACTCCTACTTTCTAGAAGGTTTTAAGGGACTCCAAAGGTTCATAAACATGACAACTTTATGGACATGCATTCTCCATGCATGTCGTCTATCCGGCCTAGTTTAAAAGCCAAGAAAATGACCTAAAACTCATACAAGGTTCAAAATTCACAACCAATCCATAGATCCATAAGATATGATGCTCTAGGGACTCAAAAGGACCATAAAGTTGTCAACTTTATTCCATCCATTAGTCAAATCAAAACCATGAATAAAAAAGGAGCAAAAAAATTATATCTGAGAGAATAAACCACAAAGGTAGAAGCTTGAATCCTTACAAATGGTCCAGAAAGGTGATATCAAATATGAGAAGATGTTGTTTGCTTGATCCTTGCACCAATCCTCCTTTTACTTCCTTTAAGGAGCACCAAAACCACCAATGAGGATTAGGTTTAGGGTTTTCTGAGGTTTGAGGGTGATGTAGATTGATAAGGAACCCTAGATTTGAGGTAATGTGGTTTAAATACAAAGAAAACCCTAAAATATCATGGGCTTGGGTTGTATCTTCCTCACGACGTGACCACACTCATGTCATGTTGTGACATGCTTCCCAGATACACGCTTTGCCTTTGGCTTGTCATGTCGTAACCTTCCTATGGTCACTTCGTGACACCCGATTTTTCCCAAAAACCATGCTTTTGACTCCTTAATGCCCTAAACCGATTCATTCTGAAAAACGGGTGTTGCACATACAAGAAAATAACATGAATGTTGGAGTTTGAAGAATATAAGAAGATAAATAGATACCTTCATTTATTAGTAATTTTAAATTTAAATAATCTTAATGTACTTTTTGATTTAGTTAATACTAAATACCTTCGTTTTATTGGGGAAGGGGGGGGGGGGGGGGGGTTAATCTTTTCTATTAGACAAACATATTTTTGTATTTTTCTTTTAAACGCATGAACCATTTCTGTAAAAAAATAAGGCACATAAACATTTTGGATAATTTTTATAATTTATTTTTTACATAGGGGCCAAACCTGCCGAAATATGAAAATCTTAAATATATGGACCATTTATGCCAACATACGAAGTCTTATAACCAAAGTCTTAAACCCAAAAATTCTAGGGACCAAACATGCCAATAGACAAAATCATTATGTTGTCAAAATATGAAACCCAAAAATTATACTAACCGTGCCAATATACAAAACTTTTGTGGCCAAAGCCTCAAACCCAAAAGTCCACTGTTTATTTCTCAATTGAATTATCTTCTTTATATCAACTATCAATATATAAACTTTAGCGGCGCAGGTCGTTTGTTTTCCCACTCTTTGTATGTGACCACTAAATAGTTTTTGAAGCATGTTCTTTAGATAAAAAAATTGAATTAATAATAATAATAATAATAATTAGAATCAAACTCGTATTTAGCGGGTGTTTGGGAATGAGTTTCAAATATGCTTATTGACTTATTATTTTTTTTCAAAAAGCCAATAAACTTAAAAAAAATATTTGACGAGTTAGCAAACAATTTTCAAACATGTTTTTTGGTATCTTTTAAAAAATCATTTTGAATAACTTATAAATTATGACTTTTTAAACTGTTTATGACTTAAAAAAAGACTTATTAACTTACAGCTTCTCTACACTACAAGCTAATCCAAATATTTTTATTAAATAAAATTGTCATTATATAACTAATAAAATTTGTTATCAAAAAATATTTATCAAGTTACAATCCCAAACACCCTTCTAAGTTCAAACTCAAGTTCATGTCTAAGTTTATCGAGTTAACGAGTATATTCAATTGAGTAAGAGTCAAGTTTTATTGATAGTGTCTGTTGAAGCCGTTTTTTGGTCCACATTTTGATTCCACAAAAAATATACATATATAAAATGCATTCCATAAAAGCTAGTATTTATGCTATAATTTTCTAAAGATGCGAAAATATACTCGAAAATAGAAAATTAAAGTAAAGGTTTTTTTTAATATAATTTTATATATTTTAAAAACTTTTAAATTTTGTCAAGCATCTATATATAAATAAATTTATATACAAATAAAAATAAAAGATATAACTTTTAAATTGCAACTTCTATTTTTCAAATTATAGCTATTTTTGCCATTAATTACCCTTATTCTTGCCTTTTAGCAACAGTTGTATTTTCTTTTACCTATTTATCTTATTTTTAATTAAATTAGTGTTTAAAATGACATATTTAATATTGAAAATCAATCAAAGTAAATTAGATAAAACAATATTTTTATAACAAAAGGCAAAATCAAAGACAAGTCAAATGACAATAAAGGCCCATTTGGTATTTCTAAAGGACCTATTACTCTTAAAGCTCAGATCTCACGATTCGCCATTCTCAATTCACCATATACATGATGGCCCAATTAGCCCATGTAAAGCAGCAAAGGTCGTCTGCGAAAAAGCAACACAGAGAGTGAAAGAGGGAGGGCATAGCAATTGGACATTGCGAACATAGCAATTACCAAGAACGAAGAAAGAGAGAGATGAACACAGACATTACTGCATCGGCTAAGTCGGAGTACCCAGTCATAGATCGGAATCCCCCCTTCACCAAGACCGTCGCCAACTTCAACACCCTTGATTACCTTCGACTCACCACCATCTCCGGCATCTCTGTCACCGTTGGATACCTTTCTGGTCTCACACCCTCTTCCTACTCAATTATATTCGTTTACTCTTGGTTTGATTCTTGAATAACGTAGCAATTCTTTTCATTTTTGCAGGAATCAAGCCAGGGATCAGGGGCCCGTCGATGGTGACCGGGGGTTTAATCGGAGTTATGGGTGGGTTCATGTACGCGTACCAGAACTCCGCTGGACGTCTGATGGGCTTCTTCCCCAACGATGGCGAGGTCGCTCGTTACAAGAAGTAATTCCCCCCTTCTTCTCCCAAATTTTCAATCTAGGGTTTTCTTTGTTTGATGAAAATGACCTCAAATGGATCAATTGGGTATTTTTATGATTCTCAGTGAGGTACTTGTGTAAACCAATTAATAATTAAATTGTTCTTACTGCTTTTGTTGTCCTAGTTACTTACAATTGCAAAAAAATGAAGAACCATTACCACAATTGATGTTCAACAAATAAACCTTGTTCTTGTTAAATCGTCCAGATAAATGGTCTCGCTTCTGTGCTTGATGCATTGCCATATGGGCGTTTTGAAACTGTAACTACTTCCTACATTGATCTGACTATGCACTTCTGTTTATTGAAGCTCTAAAACTGTTGCAATTTTTTCTGTGCATAGGGGTTGTTTGGATGTGCGATTTGAAGTGATTATGTGTTATTGAATAGTTATAACTTATAATTTGTAGAAATTATGTTGATCCGGGATTATGTATTTCATGAAAATCTATCTATGTTTTCGATATTATTTACCTATGTCTCAATAATCAGTTTTCTAACAATTTCTTACCTTTATCTGAATAATTTGACCCCAAATAATGTCTCAATAATCAGTTTTCTAACAATTTCTTACCTTTATCTGAGTAATTCGACCCCAAATAATCAGGAAATCATGGTTATTATCACTTTTTGTGCTTGAAACTATTGTAGACTTTTGTTTCCAGTATCCATGAATCTTTCTTGCCTGTTGTGATTTGCTCTTGATATGATCTATCTCCCTAATTTTGAGCAATAATGTAAAGAGTTTTTCTTTGAGGAAGTCTCTGAAATCAAATTTGTATGATTAAGCCTCGTAACTTATTGAATACTCGAGAACTATGCATATTAAAAAAAATACCCTGTTGTTTGTGTGAAAAATATACAGTTTTTGAGTGTTGTAATAAGTTAAAGATTTTTTTGGGGACTTATCTGCATAAATTGTGAAAGTACATGGAGTTTGTAACCAACATCCAACTGATCAATCTGCGGATTGTTTTTTGCTCTTGATGATTTATCTTATCTTTATCAGAAATGTGTTTGTCTTTATACCCTGTTTATAGGTTTTCATCCAATTATATTAGTGTATTTCACCAATAAAGTGGTCATATATTGTCTTAAAAGACAACTTTTAATAGCCTTTTTGAAAAAAAATCAACTATCTTTTTATAAATAATGAATTATGGATTTTGTCACTCGCACACTTTAACACCCTGACTTGTTTTATATCCAAGAATTTATTTCATTCAAGAAAATATTTGGAAAATTAAATAAATGTTTCAAGTAAATTATCATGTTAGAATAGTGCTTAAGTTACAAAGATGGTGGTGATAGGAAATTTTAGCAAGAAATCATGTTCGGTTGTGTTTGGTAAGTGGTACACACGACCAGACCTTATTCAAAAGAATACGTTAAAATTATCAAGTTGTCCTACGTTCAAAATAACAAATATGGTTTGAAGGTTGATAAAGTTTTTGACACAAATTGCTTAGGTTGTGTTTAGTTGTAGAAAAATAGTTTTCATTTTCTGTTTTCTGTTTTCCATTTTTAGTTTTCGTTTTTCGTTTTCAGTTTTCATTGGAAAATTTAGAAAACGCGTTTAGTTAAATCGTATTCATTTTTCATTTTCTGTTTTAGAAAATTAGAAAACGCGTTTAGATGTGTATATTTCTATCGGTTTTCATTTTTAGAAAACGGTAGCGGTGGTAGGATGGGGATGGGGGCAGCCGCGGGGGGAAGTGGTGGTGTCGATGATGGCGACGGTGGTGATGACAGGCAGTGGTGGTGGCGGTGGTGGTGATGCTGGTGATGGGGTAGTGGTGGTGGTGATGGTGATGGTAGGTCGGTGATTGTGGTAGTGGTGTTGGGTGTGTGTGTGTATGTGTGTGTGTGTGTGTGTGTTTATAAGGGTGGGGGGGGGGGTGGGTGTATGTGTGTGATTGTGGTAGTGGTGTTGGGTGTGTGTGTGTGTGTTTATAGGGGTGGGGGTAGGTGTGTGTGTGTGTGTGTGTGTGTGTGTTTATAGGGGTGGGGGATGGGTGTGTGTTTGTGTGGGTGTATGTGTGAGTGGGGGTTGGGGTGGGTGTGTGTTTGTGGGTGTGTGTGTGTGTGCGTGTTTGTTTGTGGGGGTGTAGGTGTGGGTGGGAGTTGGGGTGACTGTCTGTTTATGTGTGTGTGTGTGTGTGTTTGTGGGGATGAGGGTGGGGGTGCTTTGTGTTTGTGGGTGTGTGTGTGTGTGGAGGGGGGGGGGGGGGGGTTGGGGTAGATGTGTGTTTGTGTGTGTGTGTGTGTTTGTAGGGGTGGGCTTGGAAGTGGGTGGGTGTGGGTAGGTAAGGGTGTGGTGGGTTTGAGGTGTAAAGGTGGGGGTAGGTAGAGGTGGGAGTGAGTGGATGTTTATATTTTAGAAAAATTTTGGAATTAGAAAAATGTGGAAAACAATGATTATTGGTTTTCCAAAAATTTCCAACTTCTTTGTAATTTTAGAAAACAGAAAATTTTTATTTTCCGTGAAAAATTTAGAAAAATAGACGAACTAAACGTGTTTTCAAAATTCTCATTTTTCTTGGAAAATTTTTCCGGAAAACGGTCCATTTTTCCGCAACTAAACGCACCCTTAGAAATTCCTAAATTCTAACAAATTCTAGTATAAAATAAGTGACATCTGAGAAGTCTATTTGTTGGTAGAAGTTGCCTTACAGATCGAATATGCACTAAAACTTTGATAATTTTCATTAACATATCACAACATGAATTAAGAACCCTTGAACGAATCGGTCAAACAATTGAAAATTAGATTTCTTTATTTTGAGGTTGAAGATAAACTCTTATTTATAAATTTTGGAAGTTTGGGCAAATAATATATGGTGGAGTCAATGTCGATGAAAAGTCATTTATTATTTTAATGATAACATTGACATATTGTCAATGTTTGAAAGTAAACTCGTTTATTATATATTATTGTGTCTTAATTTTGAATGAAGAACAAAGATAAGAAAACTCATTTATTTGATTTGTTGGTGAAAGTTTGAAAGTAAAGATATCAGCATTTGAAATAAATAACGAGGTCTATAATTTATTAAAAGAAAACTCGATCTTGTAACTTATTGAGTGGCTAAAATAAATCTTCTTATGTGGTTGTTACCTTGTTTAGTTTATCCTTAGGCTTTATAAATAATAGTTTTCATTTGTATTTTATGCTTCAAAACTGTTTTCGTTATCATTGTGATTGTTGAGTATTTGTAACTAATGGTATCTTAACTGTTAACCTCTCAAATACTACTTATTTTTACCATATAAGCTTTCAACTAACATTTCAAAAACTTCTTACTTCGCTTGTTAACCTCAAATACAAAGTATTTGTACTTTGTATTTTTATGAATATGTATCTATATTAAAAACACATTAATAATACATAACATATAAAATTTGGAGGGTTGAGTTCGAAATCAGCCTGCACTATTTCTTTTTTAATTTTTTACATTGAGACACTGACATGACATGTTAGGTGACATGGTAACCAGCTTACAAAACCGAATATTTGCCATTAATTTATTTTTTTGACAAACTTGGAGTATAATTAGGTAAAACCATTAAGAAGTAGTAAGTTTTGGGATTTCGTGTCATTTCCTTAAGCTGTAACCTTGTTTGTTTCTTTTTTGGGCTATTGCTATAAAAATCCTTAAGTTTATCACCAAATTTGCAGTTTACCCTAACATTTTTTTTGTTACTCTTTTGCCATTTTTTCTGGAAAAAAATTTGTTTATGAAGTTTTGTAGGTCACAAACTGGTCACCGCCTATGTGGTGGTTTTTGCTGACCTGACATGCACACGTGTGTAGTTGTGGCTGACATGACAGGGTGGCTAGGCTTGCCACATCAACATTTTCAATAAAAAAGAACAACTCAAAGAGGGGATGTGAAGAATCAAACCGCGTCTTCTCCTTGCAAACCATCGTGTTCACCGCTCAGCCAACAACTTATCTTGTACATTTTCTCCCCTTTCTTATATATGACCCATGAATGAAAAAAATAGAGGAAATCAAGAATTCTAAACAATTTAAAAAATTCTTAATTTTGTAAGAGAAAGCCAACAATCGCCTTATGATGATTCATGTATTTGTAGGTAAAGCATGATTTAACATATATGAGCCGCAAGAGTTTTGTAGTGAAGAGTACAATGGAATTTGACACCAATAACTTTATTTAAGTTCAACAAGAATATACATCATATAGACTCTAATTATGTGTAATAAGTGAGGTGCCATATGGTTCCTAATTTTCAAAAGGTATATAGATTGTAATAAGTGAGTTGCGATGTGGTTCCTAATTTTCAAAAGGTATATAGATTTTCAACTTTGAATATTATTTACCAACATATAGGATTGAATAAACCATATCAAGATAATCTACTAACTTTATTTTGTTTATGAATATATTCTTAAAAGTAGTATTCGATTTATCACACAAAAAATCTCTCTATACTCAAAAAGAATATGTAGAACTAACCACTAGAATTTATATGGAGTAGTTTGGACACATGAAGTCAACACATATAAAGTGTCAGAGTCGAAGACATATTGAAATGAAAATATAATAGAAAGAAATAAGAAACTCCGATAAAAAAAAGTCGTAAGATTTTTCTCCAAAAATACTCAATTTATAATGCATCTGCGAAAATTAATAATATTCGCGAAACATTCACGAACGCTAAAAATGATAGTTTCGAGATGTCGTAAATGAGTTTTTCAACATGTTTTCAAGTCATAAGTATGATAATTGATTTGATTTCATATGAAAATATCGTATTCATGAAAATGAATCTTGCGAAGATTTTACGGGTTTTATTTTTGTAAGCAAAAATCTATTTTACAGATTCATGAAATATCTTTAATGAGGTTGATAGTTATTTTATAACCAATGACTTCCAGCCTAGCTGGGAAGAGGTACCGGGTTTAATACCAACGTGGGGTCAGAGGTCAGGAGTTCAATCCCTGTAAAACCCAATTTGGGTGCCTCTTAAACTTGTGCCACATGTGGAGAAATTTTCCCTGGAAACCCCTATGGGGGCTGGGTTTGCCCTGTAAAGGAGCTCGAACCCGAGATGTTCGTTGAAATATGTGAGTAGGCTTCCGTTTAATCATTTGCCGTTTCCAAAAAGATAGTTATTTTATAATAAAAGATAAAAACATGATATTTTGGCTTTTCAAATATGGTTATTTTGGTAATTAACTTTTATTTTTATGCACTAGGAAAGAATTCAATAATAAAATGGAAGTTGGTGAAACTGTTAAGGGTTTATATGGTAATAGATGAAACTATAAGGATACATTTTGTATAATCAACGGTGTTCACACACGTTTCCCTTGACCATCACTACCAGTCTAGTCCAAGTTCCAACTAAACAATAATCA